GATAGCCAGATAGCTAGATAGATAGATAGATAGATAGATAGATAGATAGATAGATAGATAGATAGCAAATGCTTAGATAGATAGATAGATAGATAGATAGATAGATGAAAGGAGTTGAGACTGTAGGTATTTTTCTGCATCTGGAGTCATGCTAAACCTATATTACTAAACAAATCTATACGCAGAATTGTGCGGTTGTGTGCCGTAGCGATTTCAGTGGAAAGTGTTCACTAGACCTGTATAGTTAGTGGTGACACTGGAGTACGACTGTCATGTTTCTTTGTGTTTTTATTCAGTTAATCACTTTATCTTTCACCAATCTGTACAGCAGTAGTAGAGTATACTGTGTTGTAGACAGATTAATGTAGACAGTTATCAAGATGCAAACTATCATTAGGTTCCTTCTTCGGGTATTATAGAATTAACGCCAGAAGAAGGAACCTAACCGCTCCTGGAAGCTTACATCTTTATGAAATCTAAGTTATTAAGCAATAAAGGGTATCAAGCGTGAACTCCAAGCCGTCTGCACCAATCTACATGCAGTATTTGCCTTCCCACATTTAACAGTTTTCTTCATATTGGGTAGAATTTGTTTTTGTGTCCTGTCGATCATCTACTGTAGAGAGAGCTGATCTCCTGGAAAGATTCTCCTAAAATTGAACTGTTCATGCAAATAAGTAGTCACAACTTTCAGTTCACAACTTTTTTGTTAGCAAATAAATACACCGACCATATCAAAGCAGGTTTATAGATGATGGATTCAAATATGAGAATTATATGTGGTCCTTTTTATAGATATGTTATTATATATGTATATTATATTGCATTCAGCTCCATGTACCCAACATTCCATAGACTGCGTGTTAAAAGAAGCCCAGCAAAAAGTTTCTATGTTAGCACTTCATGTCTTTATTTTCTGCTGTTTTTAATATGAGAAAATGTACAGAGATTTCAGAGTGTGATATGCTATTATTCTGTATCAAAGAACACCAAATACTTATATTAACATATTAAATGATATAGAAACAGGAAAACGGTCACAAGTTTAATAGGTAGATACATAATCAGAATGAAAAAAAAAATGTTCGCCAAGTTTAACCATTAATGAAATTAAAGACAACACAGCTTGCAGTGTCAGAATGTTGAATCGCTACTAGATCCGTGCTACAAAAAAAACCTTTGGGTGGGTTTACTGCAAAAGTGCATACATTGATACATGCAGCATTGTTGCTCGTTGACATACAATGGGTGAGGGTTAAGGATTTATTCTTTCTAATTTAAATGGGTAATAAGCAGGTCAATGCACCCAAAATGGAGCATTCAGGACTTTTAAAAACATACTGCAGTACATTGGCGCGAACAGTTCTAAAGGTGCCCATACACTGGTCAAATTTCGGCTGTTTTTTTAATGTACCGGTCAGAATTCGCACAGTGTGTTGGGGCTGTCGGCTCCTTTTCAGCCGGCATTCCTCAATCAGCTGATCGAAGGAGCCGGCTAGAAAATTTCCGATCAATCAAAGCCGGCAGCCAATGAGCTGCCCGCTCTTATCGGGTATTGTGACAGGTACCTGTCGGAATACAATGTACATAGCGGGATTCCTTGATCGACTCGCTGTTTGTGTTGATGGAGAAATCGGGTCAATTTTTTTCGTTCAGCTCATGGGTTGAACAGATAAAAATTGATAGGTGTATGGCCAGCCCTATTGACAACAATGGATTTTCTATTGTCCATGCACTTTTCTGCATTTGAGAGAACAAATCAATGCATGCTAACACGACTTATAATGCAATATCCAGTTTGCTTTAATAGGGGAACAAAATCCTTCTTGACTACCAAAGCTCAATAGGATGTGTCCCTCTGTCACCATTCTACTGTATATTTGATTTTCTAAATGTATGAAGACCTTTATATTCTGTGCTTTTAAGAACACATCCAACGTTATCTTTACCTGATCGAATAAATTTTGCTAGAAGCAGCCCGCGTTAAACACATTTCTACGTTTTCGCAGCTCCTAAATAAATAACTTTCTTCATATAGAGGTTCAACTTCTTCTGGATGCAAGGAGTGATCTCATAAATGTTATGGTGGCCTAAAAGTGAACAACTTTTACTGAATTTGGTATGGGACCCATTTAATCATGTATATATACAAAGTGACCTTACCGACCCTTAATCATCTTTTCTCAAGAGTGAATTCAGTCCATTTAATCTTTCCTCAAAGAAGAGGCCTTCCATGCCCCTTATTGGTTTATTATCCCTTCTCTGCACCAAGGACAGCATTTTTGTGTTACACCAATGTCTATATTTTCACAGCTTATCGGTAAAGAATGTTCTTCCTATGGAGGTTAAACTTCTTCTAGATGCAAGGAGCTCTCTTTTAAATTTATGATGGCCTAAAAGAGAACTTTTGCTGTATTGGTATAGGGACCATTTATTTATGTATATATACAAATTAACCAAATTATCCACCCTTAATCCCCTTTTCTCTAGAATTAATTCAGTTGATTTACAGGGCTATTCACTAAAGGTTGAAGAGTTTGGAGAAGGCAGGAAAGGTGAACAATATAGGCCAATATAGCTGAAATGGAAAGTTAGCTGATATGGAGAATTTTTACTTCTGCCTTCTCCAAATTCTTCACCCTTTAGTGAATAGCCCTGGTAATCTTTCCTCAAAAAGAGGTCCTCCATGTCCCTTATTGATTTACTATCCTTCTCTGCACCCCGGACCTCGTTATTGTGTGGAACCAATTTCGACATTTTCATAGCCCTTTGATAAAGAACTTTCATATGGAGGTTAAACTTCTGGATGCAAGGAGTGCTCTTATAAATGTTATGGTGGCCTAAACTTTCGCTGACTTTTGTATAGGACCTATTTATTTATCTATATATACAAAGTTACATTTTCCACCCTTAATCCCCTTTTCTCAAGAGTGCATTCAGTTCATTTAGGCCTCATTCACACTGCCGCACGTATGCGCGCGTATACGCGAGTACGTGCGTATTGTACCATATGCAACCTATGCAAATAAATGGCTCCATACACACAGCCGTGTATAGAGCAGTATATTTGCGTAGCGTATATATGCGCAAAAACAGAATGGAACAGAGATGTGTCCAGGCAGCGTATTACTGCGTATTTACGCGCTTATACGCGTGTTTATACGCATCTATACGCGCGTACATGCGTACAGCACATTAAAAATTCCATTATGGGTGATGCATTCTGGGATTGCATATAGTGCACGCATATACGCATATACGCTTGTATATACGCGCGTATATATACGCATAGACGCGTATATACGCAATATACAATTTTGCTTGCGTTGTGTGTGAATGAGGCCTTAATCTTTCCCCAAAGAAGAAGTCTTCCAGAGGTCTTCCTCAAAGAAGAGGTCTTACATGCCTTTATTGATTTACTGTCCCCTCTCATGACATTGTTTTACTGGGCTGGTGCCCAAATTAAGTATCATATATCCAAGATGGTGCTAAACATATATTGAAGACTGCAAAGTAGTTACGGTAGTTGTGCAGTTGATTGGTTAAAATAAAAACCTGCATGTCCGACCACCCTAAGTCATGAGTGAGGGCTTGTTTTAAAGCTTTTTTACTGATTCTTAAGAATATTTAAATATTTTAATGTCCATAGTTTGGCCACAGGTACAATTTAGAACTAGTGGGGGGTAACACACCACTACACGTGCCTATGTGAATTGAGCCTTTAGTAGTATGAGCAATGTAAGGTGCGGTATTATGAAAATTAAGAAAATTGTGTCTGAATAAGAGAAAAATGTTTCAGAACACAGCCTATTGATACTTAGAACTTCATCAACACAGATTACAGTTTATCATGAAAGTATACTCCTGTATATAATGCACTGGAAATAAATTCCACTCGACTGATCTAACACTTCCCAAAATTATGCTCACTGCACTTGGCTGACCTCAGCAGTCTCAGCAGTTTTAGCCATTTGGAACAATGGTGGAACATTTTCAAGAATAAATAGCAAGTCCAGTTGCATTTGATTTATTACCCCTTGATATCTTTCAGTCTGCCTCTTCCTTCAAGCAGAACTTTGTGCAAGATTGGCTCGTGCAGTGTGCAGTTCTTGTTTTACATTACACACGGGTCATCCTTTGTAGAAAATAATCACCTGTTCATCATTCCTGACTTCCCATATTTTCCTTGGATTGTAAAATCTTAAAGTAATGTATCTCCTACATTTTGTTTTACTTTAAGTTACATCCTTTGCATTGTTGTATGCTTATTTTTTATTTCTCCAGACCTTAGAGAGTCTCTGCCACCAATTATTTCAACAACAACCTTCATGTAAGATTCTATGTGCATTTCAAGTCTATCTCCGGGGGGGGGGGTAAAAACTAGCGGGACTGCCCCGAAACTTCAAAGTTTAACTGCTCGTTTAGGTTTAGGGTGGCTGGGCAAAGCAGGTTTACTTACCTGATCCCCCACTTCCATGGCAGTCGGTGTTCTCCTTATCTCTCCTACACTCTGGCTTGTGGATTGTCCCTCGGCGTCCTTACCTATAATGCAGGGCTATGAGATGTTAGCAACCCATCAGAGCTGCCACTCAAGTGACACTCTGTAGTATTCCCCTTCACTCCCCTCCAGCTGCTACATAAAAGGCTATGTAGGGAGGTAAGGGGAGGGGCAGAGGAGCTAGGCCAGCACAGATAGTAGACATTGTGAGAAGAGGGCTATGATATGGCTGCAGGAAGGGGAACTAGGGAATTGACTCTTCCTAAAGAAATTAAATTTGCTAGCAAATTCACATTGCAAGGGAATACAAAATTGTTTATGGAGAGGAGAAACTCTGCAAGTAAGCATTTAAAAAAATGATATTTCTGTGTAGTTTTTTTTTTTACGTTGGTGACATCATGATAAGCAAAGAAGTCACTCAACATTAATGAACATCAGTAAAGTTTTGGATGTTGTGCATCATCTATAGGTCTGTCATACTCAGTATATGTATCTCTTCTAGGTTCACAGCACCTGAAACTCCAAGGTCCCATGGTACAGAGGGGCAGTGCCCAGCTGGTGAAGCTGGATTGCATAGGAGAGCATGGGGATTCCATGGAACACGGAATATTTTGGTTTCGCCAAAAGAAAAATGAAAAAAATCCAGAAGGAATCGTTTATCTTAGTATGGTGAACAAAGAATTATACAGAGACCAAAAACAGAACAGTCATTTCAAAGCAGACAAATCAGGAAGTTCATACACCCTAACCATTAAATCGTTTCAGAATGAGGACCAGGGAACCTATTACTGTATGATTAATAAGAATTCAGTGCTAACCTTCAGTCCTGGACACCAACTCTTCTATCCTGAAGGTATCGTCCTTTCTAAATGTAGAAGACATATTTGTAACGTAATGTTTCTGAGCTTAGTTAATGTAAACCTGTCATGAGAGCAATGTATTGGCTGCTTTTGCTTTTGCTAAAGCTGTTTGCTTGGCTGGTATGATTTCTGGCTTTAATATGTTCCAAGCCACTGACCTGCAACAAGTATGTAGTTCAAGAAAATACTTAAAATGTTAGATGTCTTTGCATGTATGCTTCTTTCAGGTCAGTGACTCAAAGCATTGAAGCTAAAGGGTCAGCATGTGTATTGCTAGGTAAGGTTTTAACTCAATTTCCAGAGTTATCTTCAAGTAATTTAGCATTAATACAAAGGTGTAAAAAATAAACCTAGATTGGTGCTCATTGGGATGAATGCTTCTTTCATTGGGGTCAGTGAGAGGAAGAATGCCTCCTTATCTTGGTGTCAGTGTGATGCAGCATGCCCTTTTACACTGGTGGCCAGTGGAAGGAAGAATACCCCCTTTAAATTGGAGGTCAATGGAAAAAATGTATTGGGGTATTCTTCATTCCTCTGACACCAATAAAAGGGAGGCATTTTTCCTCCTGCAGACCACCAATTTGGGAGGAAGAGTGAGTCCTTACATTGGAGGCCAGTAGAAGAAAGAAAACCGCTTTAAAATGGAGGTCAGCAGAAAATAATGCGCCCTTACATTGAGGGTCAGTGGAGCGAAGAATGCCCAACATAAATTGGTGGTCAGTGGGAGGAAGAACATCTCCCCACCAGGTCCTCTTCATCCTCCACCAGTCTTGTGCAGTACGGCATTTTCAATAGCAATAAATGGGGCCTTAGCACGCATGTGCAAGGTTAGGAGGACCCAGTGGGAACGCTTTCAGAAGTATGACTGTGTGACTTCGGGCAGGTCTGCACAGTGTAGATCACTGGCTGGTGGGCTGTACCCTGGGCAGTGTGGACATGTCATAAAAGACAACTTAAACCAAATGTACAGTTGTCCTTTAAAAAATAATCCGCCTGGGCTATAATATACTCCAAGTATTTCCTGACATTTTCTTTATAATGCTGCACATGGCAATACAAGGAATATATATATGTACACCTTTGTGTAATGGATTGTGTTAAAAGGCCAGGTTTGTTGTTTACTGCTTGGATATGTGTTGGGGGGCCCATTAGAAACAATTGGCATGAGCAATGCGTGTTGGCAACACATATTAAAAAGCTTGAAGCATTGTTAAAATGTGAATGAATGATTTATTATTTGTAGGTGTTGCTGACCCCTTTTTCCTTTTTCTTTCTTTTTGGTTTTGCTTTTACATCTGAGCTAAATGTCTGATTTTGTTTTATTATTGCTGAGAAAATCCAAATAAAATGTGTGATGTGTGACGCAGCCTTTATTGTTTAGCTTTTACTCTTTTTATTTTATTGATAAGAAATACGGGCCGGGATAGGATCATTCTATAGATAGGGTAGAAAGCTTTGTTAAAATGAAGGATCTCTTTTTAACCTTAGGGCACCAGGGCGGCTTTTACTAGCCCTAGACAATCCATATTACCATAAGCATCATGTATTTATTATATAAAAACTTTACTTTTTATTCACAAAGCCTTTTTCTTTTCTCTGTTGTTGAAGTAACAACGCCTAAACCAACCACAACCAAACCTCCAGCAACCTCAGGTACAGGCTCGAAGTCGGGAGATGACTGTAGCTGCAACTCTGGAAAAACAGGTATCTAAACACTGCTGGGTAGTCACTGAGCTACAGCTTTAGAACCTACTGTATATCCATTTTTTATTGTTGTGTCCCTTGTCCCAGTTAAAGAAAGCCATGAAAAATAGAAGAAAAATGTCAAGAACTTCTGTAGATATTTAGGAACACACCCCCAGCAGCCGCCTCCCAGATCTTCCCATCAGAGCTGAATCGCAGCCCATTCAAAACAGAGCTTGCCACTAAGCCCCGCTCCCCACACATTCCTATTAGACAGTCTTTATGATTGGCAGCTTTACTAGCCAATAAGAATGTGCAGGGGAAAACACAGAAAGGGCCCATAATTTAGGACAGGAGGGTTTAAGGGGCTGTTGCAGGTACATCTAGATGCTTGCACTTTACATTTGCAGCAGCTTTATTCATTATTTCATTTTTAATAATAAAAAAATTAACGCTACAGAAACTTGTTCTTACTCTTAATTTACTCTTTAGTTATTATTCTTTCCCAGTCACTCTAAAATAAAAAATACATTTTTAGCTGGGCTGGGCCTTTAAAGTGTATTTAAAGGCAAAACTTTTCCCCTTTGTTTTTGATCGGTGGGAGAGGTTAGAACCTCATCATGGTTTTAATACTATTCAAGGCTCCAAAGATTTTCCCTCACTTCCTGTCCTGCTGAAAACGTTTTACCAACAGGAAGTGTGGAAAGCTCTTCGACAGTAACCAGACAGAAATAAAACTGCTTTTTTTTTGTAGTAGAGTAGGGGGAGAACTAGGATTCTTGTCAGGTTTGGTTATTTCTGTCTGTGTCCCTGTTTCAGATTTTCCCTCACTTCCTTTCTGGAGAAACTGTTGTTAGCAGAATAGGAAGTGAGGGTAAATTTTTCTAATAAAGCCCCAGGTAGAAGTAAAAACCCAAAGGGGATTGTAGCCTTTACCTACTGCAAAAGTTTTCAGGGGGGTGGCAAAAATGCTGCCTCCAAAACAGTTGGGCAGCCGGGCGGAGGAGGTGGCGGCAGAGGAGTCAAAAGACAGAGTCGGCGAGGAGGCAGCGGTGGAGGAGGCGGAAGAGGCAGAGGAGTCAGAGCAGCAGGAGGGGGTGAGGCGAAGCAGCAGGAGGGTGAGGTAGGGGCGCTGTTGGATCAGGAAGGGGTGGGGCCAGGGTGCCGTCGCGCCGTAGGAAACCGGGTCACCAAAGAGCCGTCAGGCTGCGGAGGAGGCCATGTCCTGCAGCACCAGTCCAGCGGTGGAGGGGGCCAGGGACCAAGCAGCAGGTAAGATGATCACACTGCTGCTAAAGGGACCCTGCAGAGCACAGCATGGATTCTGCACAGTCCACCTAAGAGTCTCGGGTTGGCTGTGCAGGATCTGTGGTGGGGTCTATGGTCGGCAGAGCCCACCACACATCTTGCACCGGTCTGCAGGGTCCCAGGGGGTGTGTGCATGATCTGTGGTGGGCTCTGCAGGGTCTCGGGGGCTTTGCAGGATCTGTGGTGGCAGAGCCCACCACAGATCCTGTACAGCCCCCCTGGGATCCTGCAGATTTAGTGTGGGGGGATGCACTAGTTTTGTCTTGCATAGGGCAGCCCCAAATCAGAATACACCACTGCTACTACATTTAAACAGCACTGATACTTAGGTGTAGCAGAATGTCATTAATTTAAATAAATGATATTGTAATAATTAAACCATTTTATCATTTTTATAGTTAGCAAGCCTAGTATTGTGTGTGTTGTGTGAACATGACTGACTTGACTTTCAAATTTTCTTGAATATACTCAGGAAATACAAAGGCTGAATCCTGGAAGATTGATTGTGATATACACATCTGGGCCCCGCTTGTAGGACTTTGCGGATTTCTTCTCATCTGTCTGCTGACCACGGCCATAATGCTCTGCTTCCGTAAGAAACGATAATTTTGTACCAACTTTGTTCCGGTAGGGAGCATGCAATGTGCAGGCCAATGTGAAATATGGGGTCTAAATGGACCATTGACTGCAATGACTCTTAGAAGCCTTTGTTTCCAGGATTTATGCCAGTTCTGGGGATCCTGGTAACAGTATCTTTCCAAACTCTAGGTGGGACTCACAATAGTGCGGTACACAGTAATGGGATCTTGTACCTGTTTAAATTGTCATCCAGGAGCCTTTATCTATAAGTTAAGAACCTCACATTGGCAGTTCTCTTCATCCACAAACATACATAGAACCTGTCATAGCTGCTCTGAAGCTCTTTGCAAGGGAATTTGCAAGTCGCAAGGGAAGTTTCCCTTAGCTTAGTGAATGAGTTGAAACATTACTTTTCAAAGAGTACCTAACCATGTGAAAAAAAAAAAAAGCTTCAGATCCACAGAATTACCATCTATTGTGCATATTTGTGACCTACCTAAAAAGTCCATTCAGAATGTATCCAGCTAAGCAGACCTCCTAACTGGCTGTGTGTGGTATTTCTTTCCTTCTTTATTTAACATGTGTCAAATGCAATATGACCATCTGTGTCAAGCTCACTTCTAGTACAGATGCAGGCTTTCCAAATAAGGCTGCCTTATCCCCCCCCATATACATCTTACCACTAGTAACCAACCATTCTAGATATCTTGTGCAATTTCAGGTTACCACTGGCATGGCCAAAACTAAAAGCAGTTCTGATTGCTGTGGCATGCTTGGCTTCGAAGCCTAGGGAGACCATCATAAACTGGGTGTGGATGGCTTGAATTTCAGCTAATACCTGCTGCATTGTCTGAATGTTGAGCTTTGGGTGGCCCTGCAAGCACCACTTGGCTCAACAAAAGTATAATATAAAAAACCACTAAGGCTAGTGGAAAATTATTGGCTGAACAGTGACTTTGTCCTATTAGATGCTGTCACTGTTTGGGTGCTGGGGCTCTCAGAATAATAATAATAATAATATTAATAATTCAATAGCCGGCAGTGGAGATTCCTCCATCCATGCTATTAGGGTGGTTGAGGGAATCAACTGCGCAAGAAAATCAAGCCATGTATAAGTGACCTGCAGGACTACAAACCATCCACAAATGTATAGGCAGCCTGTAGAAATTGGACTAGTTAGGGTTTTTTTGTGACAGTGTAAATATATAGATGTATGTATAAGTATTGCTTTTATTATGGGCATGAGTAGATCATTCATTCACAATATTTTTATCGTGGTATTTTGCTAGTTTATGATCTAATTAAGTAGCTGCCTTTTACTTTTTTTGCTGTGTTTGGTAAACGCCTAATAAAGGCTTTCAGATGCCTTGTGTAAGTCTCGGGCCCTCATGTTTTATCGTTCAATAAGATAGATAGTACAAGAGGATTGGTGATGGCAAGCAAGCAATCAATTATTCATTACATGTCCCAGTGTTGCTTATCTCATAGATTAGAGTAGGACCGCATGACAGAGACATATATCTCCAAATATATGCAACTATAGTTTGCCACATCACTTCAGCCAGTTCTAGTGCTGGGGAACATTTTTAATGCTCATTACAAAGTATATTTTACATATATAAAAGAACATAAATAATAATAAAAAAATTTCTATCTATATACTGTATATATGTATATGTAT